AGTAAAGACAAACCTACCTAAATAGCCTACACAGTAATGGAAAGTCTTCAATAGTGGGATTAGTAAAGACAAACCTACCTAAATAGCCTACACAGTAATGGAAAGTCTTCAATGGTGGGATTAGTAAAGACAAACCTACCTAAATAGCCTACACAGTAATGGAACGTTTGGTATAACTTCCTGAATTACAGAAGCTATGATTTTAATTTCTTATTATGATTATTACCCTGGATGTTCAAATGAACTATGCCTCTTGTAAGAAAGATTGGGAATGTGCGTCTAACAAGTTGGTTATATGTAACTACATAGGCGTAACTATATATTGTTATAGTTGTGTGTAAAATAAATCTGTTTTATCTCTTCATAAAATCTCGTAATGTACAAACGTGTTTGTTGAATTTTGCAAGTTTTATTTCTGTTACTGCCTTGTAAAAAACTTCGAAAAGAAATTACGTTAGTCTCATGGTATCTTTGAGTCCAGTGATGAATAAAATTATGGTATGCTAAACGATAATGTTACCTTTTTTATTTTTTACACAATTAGGAAGTTGTATAAATTAACTGTAATGTAAATAATGTATCATTTGGTGTACAGTGAAGCCTAATAAGGATCGCTATGGCTACTCTATGTTACAACGTTGTCGACTATTTATTTATTTCTCTGTACAGAAACCTTGATGGGTTTCAAGTTTAAGAATTCCAATAAAACGTCTTTTGTTCGTTTTCACGGCTAAAGTTATTTAGAAATGTATTTAAAAATATATGTAACACAAAAGCCTGCTACATCTCCCCCAGATATACAATGTACAAGGAAGTGGATACAGGGCATCGAAACAAAACATGTTTTTATACAAATAAGGAAAAATGTTCTGGTATCGTACCTATATTGTAACAGTGATTTTTATTACGGTAATGTTATGTAACATTTGGACATTGGGCATACAGTATATACTTAATGAATGACTATTGTTCTGCAACATGGAGAAAGAACCCTATGATAATTTTTGTAATTTTTTTCACGGAGTGAAGGGACCGTCACTCTAGTACCTGAATCATCATATTTTATAAATAAAGGATATATACTTTCTTATTTAATTATTAATAAGTCATGGTGTTTTCAAACTGTTGCTAGTGAATTTGACAAAATCATTCAAAATAAATTTTTCTATGGAATAATGAGATCGTAATTTTTTTGACATTGTTTAATTAGGGAAGAGTAGAAGAGATTAGATGGTAGGACCATTTTGTTATACAGTCATTGAATGTGTCTTGGTCTGCAATATTATCGCTTGTTTACCGCGCTAGCTAGTGGTCTAAACTCCGTAACTTTTATAAGCAAGATTCTCGAGCTAATTAATTAACTTTAAAATTAAACATACAGTTTTTAACTTTTCAAGATATCAATATCGATATGTACAGTAGTGTTTGGCTCTTTTGATATATAAAATGTATTTATTAGTATCACCTAGATGGCCCCCAAAAAGTTGTCGTTTGTTTCGGTCAGCTTATTTTTCGATGTAAATACAAATAAAAGAGAGAGAAGTGTTTCGTACTCATGTTAGAAATGACAGGGTACACGATTTTCAGAAACTTGTGTGTTTGATTATAATTCATTATATTGTGTTTCTATTTCTTGCGCTATGCACAAGTAAGACACCTTGTTTGTTTGTTTTTGAGAGCAAAACGACGTTGGGTTATCCGCAGTGTTCACGGCGGGGAATCAAATCCCGGATTTTAGCATTATAAGTCCCACTGGGGAATCAAATAAGACAAGCGAAAGGTCAGGGCCTCACGCTATATCAAACAAATAAAAATAAATATTTTGTTTTATTTTGTTATCCCAGTTGTTTATTTTAAGTAGCAATTAGACACTCAGTTTGAATCTCTAATTTTAAAAAATGAAAAAGTCCTCCTCACTGAACTAAGCCACTTACAAGGACAACTGAAAATAAAATTTCAAACAAACATATATCGTTCCAAAGCTAGACTGTAGATAGAAGTATGAAAACTGTCCATACAGCCTAGCATCAAAGGCAACCTAAATGGATGTACTTTACTACTTTGACACCTGACTAACCACATGTAAAGAAGTGTTTTTACTCTTCATCTCGAAACACATCACAGATACTGTGTGTATAATTGGCTAAGCAGTGTATAATAAATTCTATACACAGTAGTACTTTCATGCATAAAAATAAATTCTCCGGGCTCGTATACACTTAGTTATAAATCTTAAAACTATTTTCTTTTAAACAACGATTATTTTATACACAATTCAATAATAATGAGATTGTTTCCAGTCTCCAAATTACTAAAATAATAACTTACTGTACAAGGCTAAAAAGTGGTAAAAAACCTGATGTGACTGGAAAACAATCTCATACACTCTACATGTTCCGACGTATATCTCGCGTGATCCTCAGGAGTGTAATGTTTTGCAAAAAATAACACTTATTTATACAATTATCAAAACACCAATTCACATATTAAAGAATTTCACGCCATCTGCTGACAACATTTCCATTTCTTTTTAACCTTGTACAGTAAGTTATTATTTTAGTAACTTGGAGACTGGAAACAATCTCATTTTTATTAAATTGTGTATAAAATAATCGTTGTTTTTTTTTTAATGTAAGTTTTTAAGATTGAACATTACACACGTGCCAAAAAAAATTTGTAAAAGACTTAGTTATAAAGTCTGATTAATTAAGTAAAAGTTAAAACTATCGTGACCAACTCAATCTTTTTAATACATAAAAGTTACAACAACACCTTTAAAAATAGTTTGCAAATAAACTTCTAGTTAACAAGCTTTTCACTGCTGTTCACGCTAATCTCCTCTAAGTTAAAAGAAATGTTATCATTTAATAAAATATGTATAATATAAACTTTTAGAAATGTGCAAATTTCCTTTCAACACATTTTACTATAATTGAGGTAGCATGTATATATGTATCTATCTATGTATGTGACCTAAATAATAAATACAATGTGGCACTATCTATTGAATGGTACCACAAACAAAAATCTATAGAAAATTTTCACACTTTGGGTATTCAAGATTCAGACAATTAGAAAAATAAATACGGTATGTGCAACAACCATTTTTTTTAGCACATAACAGAATTTTAAATAAAAGTACTCTCCTCGCAAAAAAAGCACGATTTTCAATAGGACTGTACGTGAGGGTTTGATTGTATCTTTTTTGATGTAATTTGTAAACATAGTACTAAAAATTGGAGTTCTTATAAAAATGTTATGTTTTCAATAAGGGGGTACCACTTTTAATATATGAAAACATTACAGTTTATATCAGCACAATCTGAACACTTTTCCTGTACAGTACTTCCCAGAAAAACAAAAACCTGTTTAGAAAATGTTCAGTTTTTTCTAATTTTTCTTCAATGAGGTATGAATACTACGATTAATAATTACTGGCACAAACAGTTGCCCGTAAGGTGGCGCTTGTGCTAGTTGCAATAACGTGAATTTTAGTTACGCATTACAGGAAGCATTTAACACAAATATTATTATATTTCATGAAATAAAATCAAACAAGCGGAATAAAAACCAAAACATATTTACATCGGCTAGAGTCATCGCGCCTCCTCAATATATTTTGCTCCTCCTCCCCCTTCTTATACTCAATGTGCTCCTGCTTGGAACATGAGGTGAAAGAGTAATATTTGGGTTGATGCCCAGGCTTTCGATAGTTTCTCAAACAGAGATATCTTTCTCATTTGATCACCGTCTAAGATCAGTTATGATGTTAGTTATTCGTGTGGACTGGTGGCTTCGTGGATTGTAGCTCAGAAAGGTAAATGCTCCAGCAATGATGGAAACAGTGCTTAATTAGTGTTTCCCTTTTTATTTCTTTTTTCTAATGGGACTTACACGGCTCACGGCATCTGGTGGACACATCTTCTACTAATATAAATTAACATAGATATTCTCAAGTTCTTCAAGTATTATTACGTCTCCCAATGGAACAGCTGTAAGATGTTGTTTTTGGATTTTTTCTTCAACTACAAATTTTTAGCTCATAGCTCCGTCATCTCTTGACCGATTTGAGATTTAATTACACTTTTCGACTCAAGAGGTCAAACCCTTTAAATTGATGTATTTGATCACGTCCATTTTATTTGATTCATTTGTTCTAGTCCTACCTAAAATAATTTCAATTTGAGGGTAGGCTGGTAGAGCTCCTGATGAGTACTGGCCTATCATGGCCAGGTGGTTAGGGCGCTTATCTCGCAATCTGCGGGTCGCGGGTTCGAATCCCTGTCCCACCAAACATGCTCGCTCTTTTAGCAGTGGGGCGTTATAATGTGACGGTCAATCCCACTATTCGTTGGTAAAAGAGTAGCCCAAGAGTTGACGGTGGGTGGTGATGACTAGCTGCCTTCCCTCTAGTCTTACACTGCTAAATTAGGAACGGCTAGTGCAGATAGCCCTCGTGTAGCTTTGCGCGAAATTAAAAAAAAAAACAATCGGAATTTAACTTGCAAAGAACTTTTGAGACGTGAGCTTGGCGTTATGAAAAGAAAGTTGTGCTGCCATCTGTCGCTCATTTACTGGTTTCTAATCTGTTGAACTATTTCTGGAGTTTGAAGGTTTGTTTCTTTCTTTGTAACTAAGCACAAATCTACATAATGAGCTATCTGTGCTCTGCCCACCACAAGTATTGAAACCCGTATTCTAGCATTGTAAGTCCGCAGACATACCCCTGGTGGCAGGTGTTTGAAGGGAAAAAAAAAAGATAGGAAAAGAAAAAAGTTTACCTGATGATTTTTCTCTTCTCATAAATCTTCA